GCTGAAAACTAAAACCTGGGAAGGGAAGAATAAAGAATGATAATAAAAAGGGTAAAAGTAATAATAATAGTAGTAGTTTTAAAACAGACAAAAACAAACAAACTAAAAAAGAGAGAAAAAAATTCTGGACAGGGTGGGGCGGGGCACCCAGGCTCCGTCCAAGCACACAGACTGGGCTGGAATTTCTGTCAGCCTACAAGGTGGGTGGGAGTGAGGGATGACCACACCAGTGTCCACCAAGATGGTGTGAGATATAAGAGTAACAAGGGGAATGTTGCACCTTTCTAGTAGTTGCACTGAGGTACCTCTGCAGTTCCCAGCAAGCAGATCATGTTCTTAAGTCCCTGGAATCTCGGAGAACCTGTCACTTTAAATATCCAAAATGGTCAAGCCACTTGTACACGTTAAAAATGGCTGCACCCTCCAGACAGACAAAAGTCCACAGCTTAGCTCACCTTTCTCTTTGCTGCTTCGCCTTTTATTCCTCAGCCACCAGAGCAGTCCTCCGTGCAATCCCTGGCTAGCAGGGCCGATTTTTAGGTTAATTCTTAAGTCCCACCACTACTCTGCAATATCCAAGCTGTCTGTGCCGTCAGGATCACTGCCAGACTGAAACTCTGTATGTCTTCTTTTTTGGTGTTTTCATGCAAATTCTTCTGCTAGTTGGAGTTTAGTCCACTTCTATATGCTTCCCTTCAAGGCTCATGAGTTCAGGATTATCTTCTGTATCTGTGGTAATTGGTTCTCCTTTTCTTTGTTGAAGAGGGTCTATGCAGTCATTCTGCCTATTCTACCATCTTACTGGAACTCTCCCCACATAATACTTTTTAAAATTTGCATTATAGCTCCTTTACATGTATGGTACTATACTTACTGGGCTTATATAGACATCTTATTTAATCCTTATTTCCTTCTTTGAGGAAACAGAAACTAAAACCTAGGGTGTGTGAAGGCCAAAATTCAAACCCAGGATGTGAACACTGACTAAAAGTCCTATAATTTCTCCCCCTGTTTCATATAAATGAGTCCTTAGGTAATACAAACAGCCACTCATTAGGCTACTAATCAAAGGTTGGCAATTCAAACCCATTCTGAGATGCCTTGGAAGAAAGGTCTAGTAATCTGCTTCTGAAAGGTCACAGCCATTGAAAACTCCATGAAGCACAGTTCTACTGTGAAATACATGGGGTCACCATGCATCAACAACTGGTGTGTAATTGAGTGTATGTGTGTGTTATGTGCCTCATATAACATATAATGAAATAGTAGCTCTTGACTTGTGTCTTATTCAAAAGCTTCTAACTATTAGTAATAATAGTAATACAAAAAAATGTTTTGTTACTTTGCTTCCTTGTTTTTGTCAAACTGAAAACCAAAATCAAAACTAAATTCATTGCTGTTGAGTCAATTCTAACTCATAGCAACTCTATAGGAGAGAACAGAACTGCCCCATAGGATTTCAAAGGCTGTAATCTTTACAGAAATAGACTATCACATCTTTCTCTCATGGATTAGCCGGTGGGTTCAAGCCACCAAGCTTTTGGTTAGCAGTCAAGCATGTTAACCACTGAGCCACTAGCGCACCTTGTCAAACTGAATACATATATCTTATAGGACTCCAGGATATACTCATCACATCTCACCATTACCTTTTTGCCATTACTTGCAGCTATACACTTCCAGACAGAAAAGAAGTGTTTGCATTCATATGGTGACTGCCACAGAAAAGTACTCATGTTTCTATAAATATTTATGGCAAACATTTAACTCTGTGGGAGCTCTGGTGGCGTAGTGGATAAGGAACTTGACTGCTAATCGAAGGTCAGCGGTTCTAACCCACCAGCTGCTTCGTGGAAGGAAGATGGGGCGATCTTCATAAAGATTTACAGCTTTAGAAGCCCAATGCC